ATTTTCAGAGATGCACGCAGCTTACTAGCACCAACAAGAATGGCTCTATAGAACCCTGCAAGGGAAAGGAGCCACCCCAAAACAGGATATCAGGGCCAGTGCTCAGGAGACCAGCTGATTCTGCAGGAAACAAAAATCAAAAAGGCAGGATTCAATGTAAGTGATTTCATCAGCATTTCTAATAGCTTAAACATCCATTTGATTTTAATATCATTTTAAAGAGAATCTGTCACTTTTCCAAAATGTTCTCTATATAGTAAAATTGAGTCTCTTTAATCAAGACAAACAGGATAATTGTATAAATCACAAAAAAAATTATACTATCACACTGATATCAGAATTATCCTGGTACATCTCAGCACTGAAGCAAAAATTGCCAAGCCTGGTGCCCAAACTACAGAACAAAAACACTAATTAGACTTTGATCATGTGATCAAAAGTTTAGGATTGTGGTTATATTAGCAGCATTGGAGGAAGACTGCAGCAGTTTTTTCTCCATATAAGGTTAATAATTTCACCATTCTGTTACTCATGTTGGTCATCATGCATGGATCATTTCACAACAAAGCTCAAAAGCAGAGATTCTATGCTATGTTCAACTGTAATAATCAGAGTAAACTATCTTTGCACACTTAGGTGACTCGATTAGTGGCATTGTAGGTTGCAAAGCCAGTCATTCTCAATGACAACCCAACACATTTTACAAATGCATTCCAATGCACACGCACTGCAGCGCACCACAATGTAGTGTTGTACAGTGCTTCCAAAAAATGTCAAGTTCAATGCCTTTTAGTGCCTAGAAGTGAATTGGCAGCTCATTGGAAATGAATAGTCTGTTTTCATGCAATGTATGTAATATGGAAAACATCACACTGCAACACACCAGCGCACTTTAATGTAAGCTAACAGTACGTTTAGCTCTCGGCATGAGAGTTTTAGGGAAAACAAGAAAAGTGTGGATAATCTTACATAAGATAAAAGGTAACAAGGAGTAAATGGTCTTTTAATCCACACTAGCAAAAAAAATGCTTAAAGTGACACTAAACTCAGGAGTTAAACCTTAAAAATGCATTCAAGTACCTTAACTATTAACATAAATGTATCTTATTTGTGTATCACTCAGCTGTAGATCCTCAAATCATCTCTGAATTGGTGCTGACACTGTCCTTCCTTATGGAGGGGGGCTACTTTTGTTCCTCATGATCCCTGTGTGTGTGGTAAAGTGGCCACTGCTCGAAGTTTACTCCCGTGATGGACTACAATCTCAAAACAAATGAGTAAACTAAACGTGAGATTTTAGTCCATCACAGGCGTGTACTTGGAGCAGTGACTACTTTACAACACACACAGGGCCCATGGGGAACAAAAGTAGCCCCCCTCCAGAAGGAAGGACAGCGTCAGCACCAATTCAGAGATGATTTGAGGATCTACAGCAGAGTGATACACAAATAAGCTACATTTTTGTTAATAGTTAAGGAACTTGATTGTATTTTTAAGATTCAACTCCTGAGTTTAGTGTCACTTTCATTTAAAATGATCCAGAAATGTTTGTATTTGCATGTTAGTTCAGGTTAGCCATCACTACATAGATCTATGCAATTCATGTACAAGCCAGGAACATCAGATAGTTTTGTTTCTCAGTGTTTCATGGCCCCACATGATTTATTTCCACTGCATTGTAAAGTGATTAAGTACTGCAATATGTTCAGAGCACTTCTTAAGATTAAGCCTTTAGTGATCAAGCATTTTTTTTTTTCATAATTATGTACAGCGTTTTTTAAAAAGGAAGCTTTTTGACAATAGATAATTACAATGGTTTTGGAAGTTGGCACCGAAAATAGAACTGCATTATATTACCAGCCTGTACATAATAACATGTTATTGAACAACATCATTGATATGTTCCTCACTTTGTTCAGCAGGGCTAAAATATATATTCTATTCATGGATGAATTTTCCGGTGGCAGAATAAGTAGGTTGCCTTAAAGTGAATCTGTCACATCCGAGAAATAAGATCACGGTGTTCTAGCAGATCCCGTTTATTCTTACACTAAAGGAGTTATTGATAAGTCAACAGTGTAGTTCTGGCACCTTCTCTTTCACTCTCAGCACTGTCCTGTGCTATGCAAATAATTATTCAACATATTAGTACCCACAATTAACTCAGTTCAGCACTTAACAATAATATAGACTCTGCCACATTGGGGTAAATGTGTTACTTTATTTAATTTGTGAACTGCTGCAGGTCCAAACGCTATTTCACTTCTTGGTTATGGAGTGCCTTTAAATAAAAATATAACGGATAATACTCCTAGTGTTAATGCAAATCTCTATAAACTCCCAGCTCTTGACATACTTGGCATTTAGTTTACAATTGCTACGTAGCAACAAATTACAAATACGATGCTCCCAAGGCACCCTCGTCTATTATTTGTGGTTGATCAATTATTAGAACCCTATATGACCATTAGCAAACTCTGTTCTTGCCTGGCACGTGAATTTACTCATTAGCATTTATTTTACAATCACAACTTGGTTTGTTAACAGTGGTGCAGAGTTTACTACTGCAGTCACAGAGGAGAATTGAGCAATAAGTCTGCTGTGGTTATTTGTACAAGCAACGCTTTCCAATTAAGGCGCAAAGCCATGCAAAATGTCAGGTGCATTTAATGTTATGTTCATGCATATCTTTAGACACTGCTGCAGTAAGACCTCTACAAATCCCGTACTGTCGTTTATTTTTTGGAGCTTAAGGGCTCCTATACACCACAGCGCATATAAAAAATGCATGTGCAGTGATGAACATTTTTTATTGTGCTTTATTTCACTGCATTTAACTACTTTTTTTTTTAAATGCTTTGTAGTGCTTTTTTTTTTTTTCCAAATGCAATGATGGCTGTAATGACTTTTGGTGCTCTGTACTGCAAACAAATGCAGTACAAATGTCTACATTTTAGCCCAGTACACACCAACACAATGCTTTGGTGTGAACTGTGCACATAGACCGCAATAGTATGTGATGTGTCCTTTTGTTAAAGGAGAAGCATTGGGGAAGTAAAATGTACTCTTCCCAAAACTTAGAGCTGGCATCTGACACTGCAGGTGTCAATAAGTTATATTGCAGGTGACACTCCAGCTGTTGCCCTGCTGGCTCTATAGATTGGGAATGGAGCGATCACAAACCGCTGATCACTCAAGCTCACAGTCTTCTCCCTGCAGAGAGGTGCCTGTCAGTCACTACTCCCCGCAGGGATTCCCCCTCCCCTCTCTCTGTCCCTCTAGTGCTCACTGTAGAAACAGACATGGGAGGGGCGGGCACTGCTGGTTCTGGCTGTAGAGAAGCAAAGCCAGCTGTCAATCAGGCAGTAAAGTGGATCCCAACAACACTGTTGGGATCTTTCCCAGCTGCAGCGGGGCCCTGCACTGTCAGCATATAGTGGGCAGTAGCCTGCTAGATGCTGCCTTTGGGTCACAGGAGTACATAAATTACCTTCTGGAAACCAAAAGAGGACTAAAGCCAAAAAAAGGTTTGGATTCAGTTGCCATTTAAGCCTGTGTTGTTCAATGCAGCTCAATGAAAACAAAAGGGAACAGAGCGCCACCTCCGTGTGTAAAATCGTTTATTAAGATAAATAAAATAAGGGATATATGTACTCGCAAACCGTTTCATCACGCTTTAACAACAAACAAGAGGCCACACTGTGTGTTAACCCAACATGGTATTGCCCCGGCCATGTACCAGTTGCCTCCGGTCACATTACCATCCACCGGCCGCAGTCAGCCAAGATTGATGCGTTTCAGGGGCAAGCCCCCTTCATCAGCATCAATGCACTAGGTGTAAATGAGCCATTAATGACCCTTGCTAGACAATGAGGGGTAGTCCACAGCAAATGAAAATACAGTTTTGCTTAGTAAAAGGTATTCAAATGCATAAAACTACAACTGCAGAAAAAAAGTCTTGACAGCTCCAAAATAAAGCCCTGAAAATGGGACCAAAGAAAATAATAGAAAAAGGTCTCCCTCGCAGTCATTTGCTTATCGTAAGAAACATGAATTTTGAATAAATAAATATTGATACGGATATGCAATCTGGATGAACGCAGGAGTTCAATTCCGATTAACAAAAAGACCCATGAACCACAGTGTTGTACATTTGTTTCTGTGCAACACCAGGTATAAATCAACACTTAAAGGATAAAAGAAAATTAAAGGATGCTTGTATACATTGTCCTCAAGTCCCAGACAGGCTTTGGGACAATTCTGCCATTTGCCAGAATGGAGATCATATACAAAAAGAATTGTGTGATGGAATTAACTTCTGTGGATTAGCAGCCAGCAAAATACACTGCACCCAACACAAACTGGGCAATTGGACCTCAAGAGTTAAGGAGTAATGTTGTCAAAATAAACATCATTTAACCAGCTTTTAGTACCTGTTATCCAGTTTTGATTCCTGTTTTTTTAATCCACTAAATGAAACCAAAACCTAACCACAGATACAGCAAAAAGGATAAATGCACAAAGACAAAAAAACTTTCTTAGACAGTACCTTTTATACATTAAGATAATTCTGTTATGACTGTGAGGCTTTCCTTTGCAAAAGCATGGCCCCTGCTCTCCCCATGCCTCAGTGGAGGAGGATGTCTATGTCAAGGTAAGGATGGAGAGAACTATTCAATATACAGTAGCACAGCGTGTGCCACAGGCTGCACCACCACATTTTTTCCTGCGCAAAGCCACATGCATGCAGCGGAGCACTAAAGATGGCAAACCACTGAATCAGCTCCCATGGGCCACATGGTGGTCATGTAATTTTATATATGGCAAATGGTTCATAGCTGGGGGTTTTTTTGGTAAAGTCTTTATTCTTCGACTTTTGCATATACATATACAAGAACAAGTAAGAGGAGGGGGAAAGACAGGGGAAATCAGCAGCACAAGGGACAATGAATAGAACAGGGGAAGGCTGGTCTTGTTACATGTGGGGACCAGGAACAGGAAACATCACAGTGTCAATCTGCAAACTTGTATAGCTCGAGGAAATAAACCCAGTGTAATGTTCACAGTAGAAAGATTGTAGTAGCATTATGCAGTGGTATAGATATCGGGAACCATCTGGACCCCACTACACAATGAGGGGGGGAGAAAAATGGGGAGCGAGAACGAAAGACAGCAGGAGGAGGAAGGAAGGAAGAGGAGAAGGGAGGGGTGGGGCGGGGGAGAGCGGGTGAGAGAAGGGACAAAAAAAAGGGGG